ACAAATGGAAAGTGCCCTAAAATAACAATATTGTACAAAGCTACAAGTGTCCTTGTCATAGTAATTATAATTAAAAATGTCTTTTGTTGACTCATTCACACAGTGACAAATAGCTTATGTCCACACCTAAATTTATTAGTTTACCTTCAATAAATCCATTTTCCATATCACTGACAAGTGGTTCAAGAAATGGGTCAATGGAGTTTGGCCGTGCATCAGGCAGGTCATAAGATGGCACAAATCCAACTGTGTAGACTTCACCTGTCTGTAAGCGTTGTTCCTTTGCCATTGTTGCCACTGAGACATCTATTGCACCCATCATAATTGTAAGTAAGTAAACAGGTTGCATTGTTAGTCAGGGAAGAATTGCAAATGTTTGCTCATATTTGTGTGCAGGGTCTTGGGTGCTCAGAAAATATTCACTTTGTTACAAAATAATTATTGTATGCAGCACATGCAATACTTTTCAATTACGGAGTATCCTCAACCATTGATACTGACTAACTGTAAGATTTGAATAGATCCAATAGAATTAACCTTACCAGTACCACGTGATTTCCTTCCAAATGGCTGAAAGCCATCCCAGTGACCTGAAAAGCATACAGTGTACAATGAATAAATGACAAATGAATAGTTTTAGTTGAAGTACAACATAAAGGAGCAAAAAGGATAAACATTAACATGATGAAAACAGTGTTGAAGAAAATGCAATGGGAAGTCTTGCATCAGTCTACAATAAATTACAGTTTTATTGCAATGGAAGAAGTAGAGTAACAGTGTTGTTGTCTTATGTACTGACAAAGATGGATGTTGAAAAAACGATGTGACTCATTATTTTGTTGCAGGGGAAGAAGGATACAATTAAAGTAGCACTATTTTAATCAAATAATAATTATTATGTATCATGCTTATCATAAACTATCTTTAAGTTACCTATGTATGCAATGTTCCTTGGGTCACCTTTTACAAACACAGGTTGATGAAGAAATTTGGTACAGCAACATTCACAGTAGAGTTCTCTATTTCCATTGGGCCGAGCAGTGGCTTGCAATACTTCATCAGCACTCAAAACATTCTTGCAGCCCTCTCTGACACATCTTGCAGGCAAACACCAACTTTTATCAGGGTCCCAGAACCAAGCCAGTTCTGCAAATCTAGATCCATCCCAGACCTCCTTCTTGATCTTCCAGCCATCATCATTTCCATTTATCCAGTGTTCCTTCTCTGACCAGTGAGCTGTCATCTTTGAACACATGTCTGGGTCCTCTGTCCACTGCTTAACTTTGCTGTGCAATCCAAGGTAATAATACTTAATAGTTCCTACTTCTCCACAGAAACGACACTTTTCAGATGCAGACTGCATGATGTGCCAGTGCTGCTTATGTGTCGCATTCAAACAAATGAAGTATTCATGAGCGTCCTCATAGCCTACATCCTTGAGATATTTTTTGGCTTCTTCCCAGTCCTTGGGCCAGGAACATTTCATTGGGTGATCGTTTTCATCAATACCTTTCCCTCTGCAATACATACAGCGTGCAAAGCATAGCAGGTCTACAATTGTGGCTAAAGAAGCACCTGTTTTTGTGCTCAGTTCAATGGTTTCAAAAATGCTCTTCACAATCGCATACTTTAAGTTCTGTTCTTCAGTGCTGGCAACTGTTACATTGCTTTCCTCAAAATCATTGCATTCATCACTGATATTTTCATTTGCAGAGCAACTTGGAGACACAGCCAAATGGATTTGAGAATCAGGAGATTCAATATATTCGAAACTGTCAGTCACATCTTCATCTTCTAATTCTTCATCAGTGACAAATATTCCAATGGATGGATCTATAGCTACCAAAAAGAAGCCAAAGAAATACACTAGCTTACTCGCATTAAAAAAATAACGTTTTTAACTTGCAATAGGCACAGAAATAATGCAGATGAATTCACTTAAGCATTATAAGCTTAGAAATATGCTTGACGAAATAAAGAAATATGAGATTAAGCTAGCTCAGTTAATTGTTTATTAAGTTACGCTTATTTATTTATAATTTTTGTTCCCATCCCTCTCCCATTTTACTTTTGTCTTTCTATTGACTTTTTGATTTTGCAAAGTGTAACATTTAAAATATTTTGTTTTTTTCCCGCCCTTTCCCCTGTAACTTTTGTTTTCTATTGATTATTGATTTTGTAAAGTGTTGTAATATTTAACTGAGACGAGCATTTGTAAAGTGTAATATTCAAAGGACTAACATTAATAATAATAATAATAATAATAATAATAATAAAGACTGGTCTTTTGGATGGTTTGCAATAAACTTTTCAAAGCACGATATATTAAGACTTTATTTATAGATAACTTACCTGGCAAATTGACTGCATTGGCAGCTTCAAACTTTCTCTCAAATTCTAAGTGGGATAATTGAGTCCGGTAATTCACAGGTTTTCCATTGCAGGAAGTGCAGGTACAGTGAACATGTACTGTTTTTTTTAGCAGAACAAAAACAGAGAGACGATGGCCGTTTTGTTGCGGTTTCACTCCCGTCTCTCTCCGCCATGTTTCCAGCTTCTAATACATGCTGGCCAGCGGTGGCATATTCAAGTGACACAACATGCACATTATAATATATAGATTTAGCCAGGGCTAAAAGCGAGGCTCCCATTAGTAAATTTATAATTTAAATTAAACAATAAACTTGTATTCGAATTCCACAATTCAGTTAACTTTAGAGCACATTTATGTGACTTTTGAGGGAAAGGCTACCTGATTTTAGAGAAAAATAATTTGCAAACAGCCCAAGAGTGAACCAAATCTTACATCGAGTTGATAGCCTCATATGTACACTCAAAAACTGGTAATCATCTTTTATCACATTTAAGAGCCGTAATGGCTATTGATCACCGTAGATCAATAAAGGGCTTAGAAAAAAAACCAGGCCAACGTTTTGGCGTTCGACAAGTTTACTTTGCAAAATCTTGCCAACAAATCTGGGTGCGTGTAAGCCAACCTTTTATACCATGGACAGAAAGCAGTATTTCACAATAAAAATTGCTCTCATTCAATATTCATAAACTGTTAAAAAAATTTTCCAAAATCACCTATACGGCCATCCGGTTCTCACTTTTGTAGTGCGAGCTGTAGCGAGTGTTTGAATGAACATTAACAGAGTTACGCTCCAAGATAATAAAGAATTTATCATGTTTATTTTTTATTTGATGGTTTAACGCGCAGCATTTTGAGAACTCCTGCAAGCGATGTTCACTGAACGACTGAAAACAATCGGCATAGCGATTAAAATTGCAAGAGAGACTACTAACAATCAATAAAAGAAATATAATTCGGTGAAACATAAACAGAGACAACAATTTTCATTCAGGAAGACAAGTATTAAAGTGTCCCTAAATATCCTGAATCTTCAAGCTTCAAGCTTAAGTTTGCTGAAGTTTATGTTTTAAGCCAGCTTCCCGGTGTTTGTTTTTTCAAAGACGAACTCGAGGCAAGAAAATCGCTCAAAGCTTTCTTTTCCGGCTAGAATTATAACTAAAGATTCTTTGGAACATTTTCTTTCTATTTGCGGTGAGAAACTGTCTAAAGGCTTTTTAAAGTTCTGTAAGATTATATCAAACCAGATACTCGGTGAGATCGTTGTCTCAAATCTTACAAACGCGCATAAACCAAATTCCCGCATAAACTACGCTCCACTTCATTAAATTAGATACAAAAAACAAACATGAAATACAATAATTTCTCTGGCTTACCATTCGAGATGCAGCTCCTGAAAGTTATCAGGTAAAGCCAGTATCGCTTCAGACTTTGCAATCCTCTTACGCATCAAGCAAGGTGAAAACGAAAACGATGCCATCCGAAATCGGATTTCCGACTTTGACAAGCGACGTTTTCTCAACCAAAAACCCAATAAACAAACTAGCCATGAGTAACGGAAGACTCCTGATAGCAGCTGAATTTCATTTTGTACATCCAGTGGAAAGAGACAGTTAAAAACATCACAAGTTGACACAAAACTCTGTCAGCTTCAGCTGTTAAAGTAAACAAGATTCAAGATGCTGCATAAATTTTGCGCATGAACTCACCTGTCAAATTTTGACCAATCAGAGCATAAAAATTGGACGTAGAGCGTGACCAACGCATGACCATTCTGAGAAAAAACAAAAGCAACTGTCTTCCCTGCCTGTAACAGCTGGCTGAATTTTCACGTCCGAGGTCAGTTTGCAATCAAAATTTTAATTGTGCAGCACATAAACACAACATATTTCATATGAATTAAGAAAAAAAATTGAACTTGAGCCTGCGATCACTTGAAAACTAGTTTACTTGTCAGCGGATAACTTCAAAAAATACTTGACCTCGACGGGTCGACACCTGAGCCCGCGATACGGTCAAGTGATACTGGTCAGCGGGTACTCTGTTTTGACAGCTGTCAATTGATCAAAACATTGATGTCCAATATGTGTGCATTATCAGTTTTCCTGTGCTCCCAAACTAATAAAAGTATGAGATTGAACGTTGTTCGCGATCTAGTAAAAGAGTTAACTGGTCAGCGGACAGCTTCCAAATAAATCACGTCACCTCGATGAGATGACACATGAGACCGCGATATGGTCATGGGATACTGGTCAGTGGCTATCCTGTTTGGACAGCTGTCAATTGACCATATTGTTAATGTCCTATATTAAAGATGTGGACTTGCCAAGACACGCCTGAGACACCCCTCCCTTCCTTTTGATAGTCTCCCCTACCCCACCCATACAATCTGTAGACGCGTACGTACGTACGTACGTACGCTCGGTCAATCACGTGACAACCAAACGAAAAGAGGTTGACCATATTCCATGGGTATGGGGCTCTTTCCCACGCGCGCTTCGCGCGCGCGGGAGCCCCGCTATAAACGCCCAATCCAGATCATCCAATCAGGCTACAGAAAAGTGGCGGGATTGCGAGGAGTGTTCATTTCAACATGGCTTCTCATCGGGGAAGGTTGTATCGGTCGCAGATGCCACCAGAACGTCGTAGAAGCGAGGAGAGTGGTGATTTGGATTCTTCAGGAGATACGTTGTCGGTGGACGAGGAGAGCCCCGTTGAAACGCAATCAGATGTGTTGCCTGTTTCGTTAAAGCGTTCGAAAAGTGTGCTCGTTCCAAAGCGGGAGTCAAATGACAATGCAAAAGGTAAGTCTTAAGTTCCCGCCAAAACCGATGCTAACGTTAACGTCGAACGTGAACTGTTTGTATAAGACAGGTTCTTTTTCTTTTATTCATTAGATTGGGATGTTCAAGAAGTCAAGGAATGGGCAAAATCCATGTTTAACGAAGAGGTTGCTGCAAACTTTGAAAGAGAGGAAATAGACGGGACTACATTGCAATCGGAAAGAATTAAGACGGATGAATCTATGAACAGTTTAGGTGTAACCACAATAGGAAAGAAAAACAAGTTTGTCGTGGCAGTCCAAACCCTTTTCGGTAAATATTTCTGAGAGAAAAAATTATTATGTATTTCCATGTGTCTTGTGTTGATGAAGCACCCAGTGCCCATTGTTCCGTTTAGTGCCAGATTATTCTAACTTGTTATTTAAGTACTCTAAAGAGAAGTGGTTGTTAATATATAGAAAAAGTACTTGAGCTTGTGTATATCAACACTGAACTAAAAAGGTCTGTGTATTGAGGATGTAATAGCTACTGATTTTGTGCTGTATATTTTCCAGGAAAAGCTCTCATGGAGCCACACCGGACTTCAACCAAGAGATCTAGATTGGAGCCTCTTACATGCTATGACGAGATTGACAGAATTTTGACAAACAGAGAAAAAGATGAATTATCCTCAATGGATCGTAGCATCTACAATACTAAGTAAGTAATATATAGCTACTTTTGACTACAGCCAAGTACCAGTGACTTTTTATTTTCAGTACAAATAAACTTGAGCCTCCCCTCCACCAGCCATTATTTACAAATTCACAACTTCCGGACTCATGTTTCTCCCTTCATGCGTCCATGAAAATCATGTTTGGTCAAACCCTTGGTCTGTACACTGTATTTATGTTACAATGTGGTTTCTTACTTAAAACAAAAATGCTCAAGTTTTGATGGATTGTTGACTTTTAATACTCAGGAAGAAGAGGATCATTGCATTCACCAAAACAGTATGGCCTGAGGATGAACCAGCACCCTGGTTTAGAGGGAACACAGAAAGTACTAAAAAGCTCTTGGAAATAGTTGAACAACTTAGTGAAGATGACACGTACACATTTCTTAAAGCAGGATTAGGCCGGAAGGCTATTGAAGAAATTATCATAAAACACATGCAAGAAAGGAGGCGAAAGGAAAATAATCCTCTTAATGATTCAGACAACTCAAGTGGCAGTCAAGATAGCAAGTTGTCATCAGCATCAGCAAGAAATGAGAAAGTTAAAAACTATGAATCTTATTTCAATGATGGTTAGTATGATTTTTTGCTTTATATATTTTTGCAAACAATAACGAATGATAGAGGAAAGATATAGCAAAATTTTACCACTACAACAACGTGTGCATCAGTTGTTTGAAAGTTGGATCACTCTATCCAGTGGACAAGACTTAGTGTTAGGAAGACCATACAACTTGTTAACACATGCAACACAAGCAAATTAGGGGTTTAATCTAACACTAACAGTGTTTCTTGTTAAAAATTGATGCTGTTTGAAATTCTTATTGAAGCAAGCCTTTGCTTTCTTAATGAGAATGGGAAAAATGATTGGTTTTATTGGATTCTTCTCATTTCCTACTAACACTATGAGTGGTCTACCCCCAAAATTTCAATAACAATAATAATAATGACAACAAAACAGTTTGCTCAGCATGTCAATAAGTTTGAAATATGAAATTCATTATGGTGTCTTCTCTCCCTTTCCAGGATTGACATTGATGTCGTCCACAGCCATAATACTCGCGTGGCTGGACAAACCTGCCATCAGTGATGTCACACTACAAGCCCTAAAGGAAGAGGCCAAGCAATTAGGCCTCAACCTTTTGCGTAATAAAGACAAAAACACCCACATTAAGGCAGTCGCGTCAACTTTGTTGAAAAAAGGGAAAGTTACCATTTCTGAGTCAGTAGATTTACAAAAAATATCTACAGACGATGTAAAGCTTACAAAGATTTAGAGCTAAACAAAAATGGAGTGCATTAGAAGTTGTGTTTTATTAAGAAGGTAACAGAAGCAAGAAACGTAAACATGCCTTTTAGTAGTCGTCACTATGAACTTCAACCTTTTAGAAGTTGAAAACTGTGTTTTTACAGTATTAAGTACTTCACATAAAATGCATGTTAATATACATGTATATTTTCAATTTTGTACGTGCATGTCACAGTTACAAATTGTCTTGCTATTAAGTATCATTTTGTGAATAAAGGTCTTCTGGTCAGTTGAACCAATGAGATCTTGTATGTTTGTAATATTTGGATATTTCATAGCATAAACATGGGGAAAAAACCTGAAAGGGTTTATTTACCATGAATGTTTGGATAAAACATTGTAGCTTTATTTTTATTTTATTTTTTTTAAGTATGGGGATGTCTTGGATTATTTTACCAATTCAACTCTGGGTTAGTCATTTTCCATGGATGGAGATTTTATTAATCCAACCCTGGGTTAGTCATTTTCCATGAATGGAGATTTTATTAATCCAACCCTGGGTTAGTCATTTTCCATGAATGAAGATTTTATTAATCCAACCCTGGGTTAGTCATTTTCCACAAACTGTATTTTAGAAATACAGGACTGGATAGTTAATATTTCCTGACTTGGATTTCACATTATCCTGACTGTTTTCTTTGGAATCACACTCTGGTTTTTGATGTTACCAAATCCACATTTTGCTGAACCCAAAGATGGTTAACTCCTGGTTAACTTGAAAACCATTGCTGGAATTATCGTATTCCAACACTGGTAAAATTAAATTTCCAGATTAGGTAATTGCAAGAACCAACCTGGGTTCTTCTCCATAACCAACCCTGGAAAAATTGCAATTTAACCAATCCTGGATTTTAGGTGAAATCCAAGAAAAAACCAAGTAAAATCACCATTGGATTTTTGTTTTTTTTTCCAGTGTTTACTAGCGTACATATCCCTTCCACTTGTTCGTTTTCCAAGTCCAGTCGGTGGATTGCTTTCAGCGACTTGCAATAATACAGTATATCACACAGCCCCCGCCTTGTCTGCCTCTTCGGATGAGATTGTAATCTTCAATGTCTATTTCTCCGTCGATGATTTCACTGTTCAAGAGCGTTTCTGTTACTCCAAATACGTCGAAATGGCATAGCTTTAGAATTTTTGTTTCGCATGGCTTTCTGTTAATTTTATCTAATTGAATTGCTCATTAACTTATTTTTAATACGGTGTAATTTAGTTTTTTTTTTAATGATGTATTTTTAGTTTTTATATGATGTATATAGTTTTCTTATTGCTTTTGTTTATAGTTTTTAGGTATCTTAGATGTAACGCGCATTTGATCATATTCGAATGTTAATTTGCGCGCTATAAGCAATAATAATAATAATAATTATTATTATTCATAATTCATCCACCTTTTTCCTTAACCCACGGACGTTTAAGTGTGCTATGGTAAGATTTTTGCATTAGTAGTAAGTGTGTGAACTAAATCCTGTAGGTATTCATCGTTATGGTCTTTGGTATGATTTCTGCATTCGTTCATAAACTTGTTGTCCGGGAAAGGCCCATAATCAACTTCTACAGTGTTCAACTGTAACCCGCAGTCAAGCGAGTTTTCCAAAGTAACATCACCAGAGAAAGGCAGATTAAATAGAAGGCAAGCATTGCAAATCCAATTCTGCAATTGAATACTTTTGAATTGCTTTGGGCTTACTCCACCACACCTAATGTGAAACTGTTTGTTACACTCCTTGCAGTTGAGCGCCTGGTGATTACGAGAGATCATCTTTGAACAGTGATAGCATCTATTGGGTCCAGGATTCAACCTGATGTCTCCAGTGATAAACAGTCTTATTTGGTGAAAGCTAGACGTCGAATTGGAGTGGTAAGTGTTAGTAGTCTATTTTGCAATTTTAATCACTGTGCTGTTTGTTTTTAGTCAGACACTAACATCGCATGCAGAAGTGTACTTAAGATCCCGCACGTATCAAGCGCTTGTAAAGATTACATTTAAGCTGACCAAAACGAATAAGAAACAAACAAAATGTATTCTTTATTATGTTGAAGCGTAACTCTATTAATGTTCAATCATTCAAACACTACAAATTTGGCGCTTATCAGTTGGATTTTTTTTAACACAAGTTTAACAGTTTTTACAGTTTCCAAACTTATTCTTTCCACCCCTGCAAATGATGGCCTGAAATTTATTTTTAGTACCTTTTTTCTATGCTCTTTCATTCACCTTATGACCACTTTTCTAATTTTTAGAGTAACGTTGTGGAAACCCTTACGTATCGCCTTAAAGCATTGGAGGACTTGAACAGAACCTCCGTTGATGTGCTGTTACGAAAAACCAATGCCTCGGCTTTGAATAGTGGCTCGGACTTTGATAAATACGTAGCCATGCAGTTGGCAGAAGAGCCTGTAACCTGTGCCTCCAATGCCCACTATAAGAAATTCCCCTATCACTCAGTCGCACTGCAAGAAATACGCCAGTGCCTGCACAAGCCTAAAGATCAATTTAAAGCTTATTTTCTGGCCCTTTTCTCCAACCATGATTATGAACAGGTTTTGGAGTCCTTGGCTAAAGTTGACAAGAGCTTCCTTGAGCCTTGTTCTACCATGCGCGGTTCTGCCACCTTGACCTGTTTTGGATGCGGTCAGATTGGCCATAACGTGAACCACTGCTGGTTTCAGCCTTACGCTCGGCGTGGCGCCGCATCTCCCAGATCTGGCTTGAGGCCCCAGTTCCGTTAATAATCATTTTTTCTATGTACTGGCTTCCTATGTAGTTCACCTTAAGTTCTTACATGGGGTTCTTTTGTTCGCTCTTGGTCCCCTCTTCTATTACGGCCTCATCTGTTCAGTTCCCTGAGTGGGAGCTAGACCACGATTTCTGCCCTCTGGAAGTCGCTCTTATTAATCTTCAATAGGTCTCGTCGAAATCTGCACACATTCAGGAAGTTCCAGGTTTACCAGCCAATAATAAACATTTGCAACCTGATTTTGTACATGATGTCATTGCTGGTAGAGCTTTCGCAGGTCCCTCTATGCTAGCTTTCTGAGATCCGCACCATTTTCTCGAGGGGCAGCTTCACCATTTCCGTGAAACCTGGCTCTCTATCACCTCGCAGACAGATTGTGATACACCTAAAGAAGGTCTTCAAATATTTTCAACATTTTCGTCGATTCTGCAAAGGAGAGAATTTTGACTGTGACTTGCCTCCTTGCTGGATTTTTAAGGATCATATATCTTGTAAACAGTTTTCCTCCATCATTTCTCGTAGTATTTTAGACCAACTGGCTACAGGTGCCATCTCCTTCTGGGGTATGATAAGGGCAGTATCACCCCCACTTGTTGTTATGCCCTTAACAGTCGAGCCCTCAAAACCTCATCTCTTTAACGACGATCGTTTCATTCATTTATCAACAATTGATTTCTCCGGAAGAATGTTCTGAACTCTTGGACAGCTTCCAGAGTAATAAATCCCCTGGAAATGATGGCATTCCAGCTGAATTTTATAGAAAATTTTCGCCTTTAATAAGCGAAAGTTTTATCAGGTGCGCAAATGAATGTTTCGAAAAAGGGGAAATGTCATGCTCACAAAAACAGGCTGTAACTACTCTGCTTGAGAAAAGCGGAAAAGATCGCACTCTCCTCGAAAACTGGCGGCCGATATCTCTTGTTAATGTAGATACGAAAATTATGTCCAAGGTGGTCGCAGCAAGGGTTAAAAAGGTGTTACCCAGTATCATTCACTACAACCAAACGGGTTATGTTAAAGATCGTTTCATTGGTGAAGCAATACGTTGTATCTTCGATATTATGGACTTCACAGCTAAGGAAAACATCCCAGGTTTACTGTTGTTTATAGATTTTCAAAAGGCTTTTGATAGTGTGGAATGGGAATTTCTCATCGAGAGTGGGTGAAAACCTTTTATAACAACATTCAAAGCTGTGTTATAAACAATGGCGTTAGTTCTAACTTCTTTACTCTGGAACGTGGTGTTAGGCAAGGTGATCCACTCTCTCCTTACTTATTTATAATTGCTGTAGAAACTTTAGCAATTGCCATAAGGCAAAAAGAGTCAATTAAAGGAATCACAATAGGAACCGAGGAAACTAAGCTTTTACAGTTTGCAGATGATACAACCGCTGTGTTAGCTGACACAAGCTCGGCCGAAAGGTTATTTGAACTACTTAACAAATTCGAAATCATCTCTGGACTCAAGATTAACTGTTCAAAAACTGAAGGTATGTGGATTGGATCTAAGAGACATTATAAAGAAAAACCATTCGGTGTTAAATGGCCGGACGAGCCAATAAAAGCTCTAGGTGTATATTTTACTTACGACCAAAAATTGCTTAAAGAAAAGAATTTTATAGAACGACTGGATTCAATTAAAAAACTTTTTAATATATGGTCTGCTAGAGGCTTATCGATATACGGTAAGGTGACAATAATCAAATCTTTTCTTATCCCCAAGTACATTTACGTTTGTTCGATTCTTCCAACTCCCAATGAATTGCTAAAAGAATTGAATAAAATACTGTTTAAATTTCTCTGGAAAGGTGTAGATAAGGTAACAAGAGCTTCAGTTATAAATGAATACGAAGAGGGAGGGCTAAGAATGGTTGATCTCGAGTGCATGGTTAAATCATTGAGATTAGCTTGATTAAAACGTATCTTCAGTGGGACTAATGGAACTTGGAAAAGCTACCTACAGCACATAATGGGCTCCCTTGGGGGATTGTTCTTTTTTAACTGCAACTATAATATCTCGGATTACACAACTCCTTCTCAATTCTATCGGGAACTTTTGTTATGGTGGTCGCAATTTCGTGAAACGTTTGCCACTGAAGAAGACTGGAAAACCATAATCTGGAATAACAAAGAAATAAAAGTAGAAAACAAGCCGGTTTATTATAAACATTATGTTAATGCGAGAGTCATTTGTATTCAAGATCTTTTACTTAGTCTGAACAGCACT